TAAACTGACTATATTTCAATTAAAAAAATTTTTTTTTCAGTCCAGAAGAGTAGAAGGGAAGGGAGGGAAAGAGGGGAGAGAGGAGGAAGGGGGACTGACCATTTGTTTCTCTCTGTCTTTGCAGCCTGCTGCTTCCCACTAGTTAACAATTGCTGTCCAAGCACGGGCCCCAGCCCCTCCTAATTACCATGATTAGCACTGAGCAAACTGCCACATTTTATGACTCTCCGAAACAAAAAAAATAATTAAAGCAATTACTGTCATTAGCACGCTGCCCTCTGCACCACCTTCTCTGGGAATGAGCAACGAGCATGCCTCAGGGAGTCAGGACTGGGTGCCTTCCTCTCCCGGCTCCATTCTGCACCCTCAGCACCACCACCGCCGCCTGCCACCTCCAGGGGCACAAGCCTGGACAGCTCAAGCCACCAGCAAGGCTGGGAGGCCTCAAGGAAGGGCTTCAGTGGGACCCCCGGCAGACCCCCAGTATGCCTGGAAAAGCCCGAACCAGGTTTCCAGGAAACTGCAGACAGGGGGCCACCCCTGGGCCAGGAGCCCGCCAGGCTGTCACCCTCAGACCTGGCCTTGTCCCTCTGCAACTCCTCTGTGCCGGGCCCCCAAACCCACCAGCAGAACTCCCCCAAACCCTGCCCTCTCTGACTCCCTGACTTCCCATCACAGCCCAGACCTATGTTCTGCCACTCCCTAGCTAAAGGACCTGGTCACCTAAACCTCAGGCTTCAGTTTCCTTGTCTGTAAAATGGGCCGTCTTAGCTTGGGCTGCTGTAACAAAATACCACCGAGTTGGTGGCTTAAACAGCAGACATTTCTCACATTTCCAGTGGCTGGAAGTCCAAGATCAGATGCTATTCCTGGGGAGAGCCCTCTTCCTGGCTTGCAGTGTGTGCTCACATGTCTTTCCTTGGTTCATCCTGGGGGGTGAGGGGGGTGAGGGAGTGGAGAAGAGAGAGGGAAAGAGAAAGGAAAGCAATTTCCCTGGTGTGTTTTCTTCTAAGGGCACCAGTCCCATCCTGGGAGCCCCACCCTCACATCCTCACCTAATCCTAATTATCTCCCAAAGTCTCCATCTACAGATACCACCACATTGAGGATTAGAACTTCAACATATGTATTTGGGGTTGGGAAGACACATTTCAGTCCAGAGCATGAGATTTGAAGTATCTGTGGAGCAATCCCTTCCTCATGAGTGCCTTTGAAGATTGAGTGAGACAATCACCAGGAAGCACCTTAAGCCAAGCCGGACACATAGTAGGCCCTCAATCACCAGTGGGTCTCTCTTTTTTTTTAATTGAAGTATAGTCAGTTTACAATGTTTTGTCAATTTCTGGTGTACATAGAGCATAATGTTTCAGTCATACATGTACATACATATATTCCTTTTCATATTTTTTCATTATAGGTTACTACAAGATATTGAATAGAGTTCCCTGTGCTATACAGAAGAAACTTGTTTATCTATTTTATATATAGTCGCTAGTATCTGCAAATCGCGAACTCCCAATTTATCTCTTCCCACCCCCTTCTCCCCCTGATAACCATAAGTTTGTTTTCTATGTCTGAGTCTTTCTGATTTGTGAGTAAGTTCCTTTGTGTCTTTTTTTGTTTGTTTTTTTTTAGATTCCACATATTAGTGATATCATGGTATTTTTCTTTCTCTTTCCAGCTTACTTCACCAGTGTTTCTCTTCAATGCTGCCTTGAAGCAGAAAGAGGACTGGGGTTGAGCAAGAGGATTCGCTGAGGAGGCTGGGGAGAGGGCCAGGCTCTGGGCTGTGATGATTTTGTAAACCACAATGCCTGTGACCCAGGATTATTGCCATGGCCTCCTAACTGGTCTCCCTACTTCTGTCCCTGCCCCTTACCCTTCAATTTATTCTCAACACATAAACCAAAGAGAATCTTTTAAAACATAAGTCACAGAGCACAGAGGATTTTCAGGGCAGTGAAAATGCTCTGTGTGATCCTATAATGATGGATATATATCATTATACATCTGTTCAGACCCATCGAACGTGCAACACCAAGAGTGAACCATAACGTGAACCATGGACTCTGGGTGATAATGACATGTCACTGTAGGTTCATCAGTTGTAATGAATGTACCACTGTAGGGGGGATGTTGATAGTGGGGGAGGCTGTGCATGCGTGGGGACAGAGGTATATGAGAAATCTCTGTACCTTCCTTTCAAATTTGCTGTGAACCTAAAACTGCTCTAAAAAATAGTCTTTAAATTGTCCCCTAAAAGATAATAAATACTTATTTAAAAAAAATGCATGAGTCAGATCACGTCACATCTCTGCTCAGAAGCCTGCAGTGGATCCTCATCTTACTCAAGAGTGAAAACCAAAGTCCTTACGATGGTCTCCAAGGCCATGTGCCTCTCCTGCTCCCGTCCCCCTCACTTGCTCTGACCTCAAACCTATCCTGCATACTCCGGCCTTAGGCTGGCCGTCTACCTGGAACTCTTCCTCCAGGAACAACTCACCTCCTTCAAGTCTTCACAGTGATGGAGCTCTCACTCAGCATCCCAGCACATATCCCAACCCCCGCACCCTCTTTTAGTCTTTCATCCTCCCATTGCGCTTAACACCTTTTAACATGCTTTGTAATTTACTGATGTACTGTGGTCGCTGTTCACTGTCTAGCCCCCAAAGGGCCAGGGATCGTTGTCTACTTTGTTCTGATGTTTTCCCAGGACCTAGATCAACGCCTGGCACATAGTAGGGACTCAGTCAATATCTGTCTAATTTAACTGAGGTACTGTAATTGTAGCCAAGGTCTCTTGTTTCCTCTGGAAGATCCAGTACCACCTTCAGAAGAACTGGAACCAACAGAGACATCAGTATAGCCACAGATGAGCGATGTCCATCAGACTGTGCAGGGTAAGTCTTTCAACAGCGACACCATGTGGCAGGAAGAAGCAACAGCAGCAGCGGGCTTTCTTACTTCTTGGAGGAGAGGTCCTGGAAGCGAGCGGGATTGACCTCACAGTGACTGCATTACCACGGAGATTCCCGGTCAGTTGGAGAGGTAGAGAATCTCAATCAGACTTTCTTCTAATAACCACTGACACCGAGCAATTATTTAAAAACTAAAAGTTTTCACTTCACATCCATTAGGATGGCTATTATTTAAAACAACAACAAAGTAAGTGTTGGCAAGGATGTGGAGAAATTAGAACCCTTGTGCATTGCTGGTGGAAGTGTAAAATGATGCAGCTGTGGAAATCAGTATGGTGGAAATCAGTATGGTGGTTTCTCAAAAATTTAAACACAGAATTCCCATATGATCCAGTAATTCCACCTCTAGGTATGTGCCCCAAAGAACTGAAAGCAGGGATTTAAACAGATATTTATGTTCATAGCAGCATTACTCACAATTGTCCAAAGATGGAAGTAACCCAAGTGTCCATCAATGGATGAAACAATAAGCAAAATAGGGTATATACGTACAATAGAATATTACTCAGTCTTACAAAGGAGTGAAGTCCTGATACATTGCCACAATAGGGTTGAACCTTGACACTACACCAAGAGAAATAAATCACTCACAAAAAGACAAATACTCTATGATTCCATTTAAATCAGGTGTATAGAATCGTCAAATTCAGAGAGACAAAAAGTAGAAGAGTCTTCGCCAGGAAGTTGGAGGAGGAGATAATGGGGAGCAGGTGTTTAACAGGTACAGAGTTTGGGGGTGATGAAAAAGTCCTGGAGATGGAGGGTGGCGATGGTTGTACCACAGCATGAATGTACTTAATGCCACTGACCTGTACACTTTTTTATTTTTTTTAATTTTATTACTTTTTTGTTTAGGGGTTTTTTTTTTTTTTTTGGTTGCAGGGAGGTAATTAGGTTTGTTTATTTATTTGTTTATTTTTAACAGAGGTGCTGGAGATTGAACCCAGGACCTTGTACATGCTAAGTACATGCTCTACCACTGAGCTATATACCCTCCCCACCTTAAATGACTGAAATGGGAATTTTATGTTATGTATATGTATGTTTTACCACAATTTTAAAAATTTTAATTAAAAAAAAAAACAGGAAAAAACTTCCAGAAAATAAAAGGTTGGTGTAACTCTGAGTTCAAGGAGAGTTGCTTTAAAGCACAGCACAGGAGTGGGTACAGGCCATCTTCCCACCCCCACATGGAGCCCACCACGCCACTGGCCCTAACTGACCCTCCTCTTACATGCCTCACTTCACCATATTGGAATCCAAGTTGGGCTCATATTTCTTTTCAGGGTCCAGCTATAATAACTCTGAGTCCTCAAAACTCAAACTCAAACTGTACAAAGCACGTTCCTCTGTGAGGCTCCCTTCCGCCAGTCCTATTCACAGCCTGGAAATAGGCAAAAAGATGGCTGAGTCCTCTCCCAGTCCTGAGACCTGGCCAACAAGCCCATGTAGACTCAGCTGACACTCAAGGGCCTACAGTTTGTTTGACATCCTAATGACTATTGATCAGGGCCCCCGCTCTGGGAAGTCAGATGTTCACTTGTAGAAAACTGATAAGGTGCGAATGATTTCCATCCAGAAGAGAAAATAATTGCAAAGGTTATGGTTCTATTGCCTTACAGGATATTAACTAATTTTGTATCTAATTGAGTCATCATATTCCATCATGGTTTTTCATGGGTTCCTCACATCCTCCTTTGAATCAGCTTTGCTCAACTCTCATTGAGTTAAATAATATTTTGATGGTGCTCACGATATATTGCCCGAGAATTACATTTATAACATTTTAAGAATTGTACCTCGGCACCTGGGGAAGCTAGATAGGAGCTCACATGCTCCACACACAGACCCAGGGGGCTGTTTGTCACTTCACTGTCTGACTGCTCCTTCTCCTGGCTCCCCTCCCATCTTTCCTCTTCCTCTTCCTCCTTTTCTTTTTTTCCTGTCTTCTTCTCCTCCTCCTTTTTTTCCCTCTCCCTCCCTCCCTCCTCTCTCTCTGCCCACCCCCTTCTCTCTCTCTATCTGTCTCCATCTGAAAATCCTTAGTGTTCTCTGCTCCCACCCCAGGCAATAAACCCAGGTCACATCTATAGCAAACTGCTTAAATGCAGTCATCACAAAACAGAATATTTACCATCTCAATTTGCCTTCTTGCACCTAGATTCCTTCTTCCAGGCCTCCTCCTAGAAAAACAAGTAGTGTTTGCTTGTTTGTCTACAGGACACATCTTGGGTGGGGAGGGATCTAATTCAAGGTCATATGTATCTCTATCTCTGGAAACCAACACGGTTTCCAGAAACCAACAATCCCCAAATGAGCATCTTCATTAAGTTAAAAAAAAAAAGCAAAAACTCTCTTCTCCAGATAACCTACCACAATAGTTTAAAACTGAATTATTGTTGTTACAGAAAAGAACTTTTTTCATTTTATTATTTTGTTTCTGACACCTCACTAAACTCCTTTATTTGCCATAATTAATTGTTTTGAGTTAATTTTATTGGGTTTTCTGGTGATAAAATTGGGTCTCTGGAAAACGATGATAATTTTCCCATAGCTAAATTTTGCAATCATGCTTTCTGTCTTATCACAATGGCTGTAATATGTGTTCTTTGCTATGATTAAAAGTGTCGAGCTTTCGAGCAGCTACCAAGAAAAATTCACTGGCAAGCAAAGAGGCTAGGGACTGAGTAAGCATCTGGAAAAAAAAAAAAAAACCCTGCAATGTGGGGTGATGAGACAAGGCCTGGACCAGCATCTTGCCTGCAAAGGAAGAGGTGCAGGGAAGAGAGAGTTTAGATGCTGAAATCAGCAATGAGGCAAGAAACCGACCACGACTCCAGGTCTGCATGCCTGGAGCCCAGTGGTCCACAGGAGTGACCAGGGATGATGGATGCCCATGCTTGTACCACAATGATTGTTTTAGGGATGGACACTTGATCCAGACCTAAGCCAAACAAGCCCTGGCATTCCCCATCCACATGACCTAAGTTACTCCAATCAGAAGTGAAGCTCAGGAATTCTGTTGGATGGTTGGCCAAAGGGAACCCCAAGATCTGGAGGAGCTTTTGGTATCCGACATAGAGAAGCAGGCCTGAGCGTCAGAGTAATGAACTCTAGATCCAGCCTACCTTGAGGTTTATGCTACCTTTGGACTTTCAAATCACATAAAAACTACACGTTCCTTTTACTGGGCAAGCCAGTTGGCGCTCGGTCTTCTGCTACTTGTTATATAAAGAGTCCCAACTGATCTACCAGGAAATTCACAATATTTTTAATAGCTACTATAACTCTCTTACAGTGTACTCATCTGAAAAGAGGTGCGAGGGAGAAAAGTAATTAGAATTCTCAGTTTATAAACATTTCCTAAAATGTGAATTCAAGAGAGAAATTAGCAGATATTTTAATTGTCTACTCCATCTCCACATCCTCACACTTAATCTACCTACTCTCTAAATACATTAATTAACATTTTCATAAATACTTTCCAGTTTACAATGCAACTTCACACGCTTCGACTCATCTGGTTCCCATGACAAAAGGCGAGAGATGGGTGGTAACAGCAATGCCTCATTTTGTGTAGCACTCTACAGTTTGCAAAGCCCTCTCTCTTACTTTATTTTGTGTGATACTGGTCGGCCTATCTCTTGCAAGGAAAACTGACATACTTGTAGCTCTCTTGGCCTACAGAGAACTGTTCCACATTTCTGTGTCTTCACCAATGTCACTCAGCCGGTATGGTCCTTACCACTTGGTTCACTAGGTGAACTCCTATTCATACTCAAAAACCCATTTTAGATAGGACACATGCTGTCTTTCTCCCCAGTAAGATAGACAGGTGGTGTGATGCTCAAGCACTGTGTTGCTTTTGCCAGATTGGTCAAAGTCAGCCTGCTGGTTGTTGGGATAGAGTGGGGGCTCTGGCCAAGTGTTTTGTGGTTTGGGGTAAACTTCATCTATCACTAAAGAAAAGACACCAGCCTCTCCACCAGCCCCCTGGCCATAAGAACCTACTTCAAGCTTGGCCAGGTTTACTCTGTTATCCAGAGGGAGAAGGTCAATGTCAGACTTAGCCTTGGGCCATTTTTTTGGTTTTATGCTATTGGCCCTCGGGCCAACCCAGTCTTTAGGCCTTCAAACAGGCCTCAAAGAGACTTACAAATAAACCACAGACTTCTCAAATTGGTCTCAAAGAGACCTTCACCAGGATCCTCAGACTGGACCCAGGGGAACCCTTCGATGGGCACAGGTCAGAGCACTGACTCACACCAGGAAACCCCTTCCTCCGACCTCAGATGTTCTCTCAAAGATACCTTCCCAAGAGAGCCAGGACTCGGTACCCACTGTCCACACCCCTCCTGGAGGACTGTCTGGGGCCTGCAGGACTCTGTCCAGGAGTTCATTTGTGGGTCTGAAGCCCTGACTGGGGAAGACTAAGGATGCTGGCGGTGGCCATGGAAACTAGCTGGATTTCTTTACTCCAAGCAGGTGGGACACTCAGCTTTCCCCATAGCTCTGGGGATTCCAGTAACAGAGTGACCCTCGCCACAGACTCAGGGGTCAGAGGGCAGAAAGGGTGGGGAGAAAGCTGCCCCAGGGGAGGAGGGAGATGAAGGGAGCCAAAGAGTTGGCCCAGGCCCTTTCTCTGAAGCTGTAAATCCTGTTTTCCTGGGGGTTTCCTGGATGCTGTGGCATCAGGGCCCAGTACTAACAGGACTGGGCTGTAACTGTCAGTGTGAATCTACTTCCTGGGTCCTCAGCACAATCAGGTCCACATTCGGAGTGGGCGTTTGTGGCCACACTGAATACCTCCACTTTTTTAACCTGCTCCTCTGCCAGGACTTCCCAGCTTAGAGTAGGGCCCCATCATTCCCTGGGCCCCCAGCCTGAGGTCCTCAGCTCAGCCTGGACCAAGTCTACCCCACCAGGCTGGATTCTTCCCTCCCCCCCAACAGGCCACCAGAAGCAGTCTCCCGGAAACCACCTCTGAGCACATACCAATCTGCTTTGGAACCTGCAAGGGAGCCCCACTGCCCACAAGATAAAGTAAAGTGAACTTCCTCATCCCACACATCACAACCTCGCTGCCTCCGACCTCCCCGGATTCCACGGCTTGTACACACCCTACTTTCTAGCCAGATTCAGCCACATCCACGTCTCACCTCTAGTCCTTTGCTCCTGCCAGACCACTGGCCTGGCTGTCTTCTTCTCTGGTGCAATTCACTCTGCCTTTGCTGGTTTCACAAAATCCTTCCCACACGGTGGTCCCACCATGACTGACCCCTTCCTCCCCAGAACCTGTGACATTTTCATCTTTTCTACCCACCCCCCACCAAAAAAGAAAGATCTGTGCACTGGGCGATAAGAACTCTGAGTGATTCACTGCTGAGTTCCGTTAATACTGTTTGCCCAAATGAAGTCATTCGTTCAGTCATCGTGTGTGTTTGGAGCACCTACCACTCCTGGTTCTGTCTGGGCCCTGGGGCACAGCCATGATCAAGACAGGATAGGACTCATATTGTCCCCGGGGGGCGGTTAATTCCCGAGTGATTCCTGGCCTTTGCAGAAGTCTTAGGTACTTTCACGGATGCCTCTCCAAACTCCAGTGTCCAGGACCCCAGGAATCCAAAGCAGCCATCCCTCTGTTTGTTCCTCACCGTGATCTCCTGCCATCTGAATGTACAGAGCAGGTGTCCAGGCAAGGAGTGGAGGGGGCGAGGTCTTCACGTACGTGTGCAGATCCATCCCCAGTGCACAGAGGTGCTGGGAGGCCACCACTCTCCAGGCCACCTGTGTGCGCACCTCCCCCAGCCCCGCACAAACGGCTCCCAGCACACTGCGCTCCTGCTGCTTAATTTTGCTGAACACCAAGTCCCAACCCCGTGTTAATTGGTTTTACTCCAGCCTTTTGTGCCTCCCATTAAATGAGGAAATGCCACCCATAAAATTTTAATTTTAAAAGCCAACTTGTTTGTTTTATATTGAAATTCCCCAGGCAGCTCCAGCAGAGGGAAACAGACACATTTTCGTTTCATTAAAGCAACTTGAGTGAAGATAAAAAAGCAGCTGAAAAATTAGATTTAAAAACAGAGCAAGAAGCATTTAAAGAAAATGAATGAAAATGAGCTGCCGCAGAGGGCGGCGGCGATCAGGCTCCTTCTCTGCCCGCCTGCGCCCCCTGCAGGGAGACGGCGGAGCAGCAGAGGGAATCGGTGGACCCTGATGGCTAGTAACCCCAGAAGGCTGGACCTTGGACTCTCTCTTCCCTGAAAGTTGTAAAGTGTTACTCACTGTCTGAAGAGTCCCCTTAGGAGGTCAGTGACATCTGCTTCAGCCACCAAAGCAGAATTTGCTGGTTCTGTTTTAGAGGAAGTAGGCTGGAGGGACTCCACCACTGGTCTAGCAGCTTCCTCTTCCTCAAGGACAAACTGCATGATGGTGAAGCCACCTGGGTGGTCCTGGCTCTCCCACTGACCAGCTGTGAAATGGAGAGCAAGCGGCCTCAGTTTTTTCATCTATAAAGTGGGAATCATAATGTTACTTAGTTTAGAGAGTCGTTGTGAGGAGTAAGTAGATTAATACCTTGGCATCGTTTAAAAGAGTGTGGTATACAGTAAGTGCCTAATTAATGTTAGCTTTTACTACTCTCATCCTGCCACTACTCTTCTACTCCCTGCTCCTAACACATTGCCTTCTGCTGAGTGCACCTGCCTCCCTCCATCTATACATCCCCTCACCACTCAGAAGGCCTTTTAATGATGTCCCTGAGCTAAGACAGCTAAAAGAGACTGAAGGGGAGGTCTGATGAAAGATTGGGGAACCCTCATTCCATGGTACAATTCTTGTGGGCCAAACCAATTCATTAAAATTTTATTATAATCCTCCCCAAGAAAGCCAGACCCCCTGGGTTCAAATCCCAGCTCCACGACTTACCAGCTGCCTGTTCTTGGGCAAGAGTCTTCCGGGCCTCAGTCTCCCCACTAATAAAATGGGAACAGTAAGTGGATCTGCCACCCATTGCCATGGAGATCTAATACAACAAGCCCGGCTCCACTCAGTGCCCAGTGAATGGCCACTGATCAGCACCAGGTCTAGAGGTCTGAGGCTGTCGAGGCAGAGAAGGGGCTGGGCAGGTGGGACCATAACAGAGTGACCTCACCTCCCTGTTCATGGCTGTTGCCATGGAGTAATTATTAATAGCGCTTTCATTCTCAAAAGTGTCCTAATCTGGATGACTAATTATGCGCTCATCCTACTTCAAATCCCCCTTTCCAATGAGAGGGCCTCAGAGCTTGCCCCCTAGTTTTGAGGAAAATGTCCTGACCCCTTGACCTGTTTTCTGCCTGACTACAGAGTCCTAACCCTAAGCCCTAACCTCAAGCTTGGCTTGGGCTAAAGAAGCTCATTACCTCAAACAGCGTGATGAAGAGACGGGGTGGGGAGAGACTGGGAAAGGCCAAGGGTGCCCAGAAGGTGGTGGGAAAAGAGTCTGGGATTCCGGGCCTCCTCTTTGCCTCTGAGGGCAATTTACGTAACTCCTGATCCTTAACTTCCTCTTCTCTCTGGTGGGCGGAGGGATTAGCAACAATACTATCTAACAGTTGCAAAGATCAAATCAAACCAGAGAATGGATGTGAAACTGCTCTGTAAACTGTAAAGTGTTGCTCACATTCTGGTGAGTACCCTCAGGAGGTCAAGTGACATCTGCTTCAGCCACCAAAGTAGAATTTCCAGAATCTATTCCTGGAGGTGACCAGGGTTGGGGACACAGAGAGTCACCAAGGGGCCCGGATGGGGAAAGGATGGTCTGCCCTGTGCCTTGGAACACAAAAGTCCTATAACTCACAGCCTGTGTCCTGCAGACCCTGAACCTCTTCCCACAGGCCCCCAACACCTGCCCAGCAGCTGTGGCTGCCCCCAGGCTCCATCCCTCCGTCTGTGGGAGCCACCTTCTCAGAAAAGCTCAGAGAGGGCATCTTAGTGGCTGCAAAGTGGCACCTTTTTTATTCGAGGCAGAATTCTTTACCAGGTTCCCAAATTGTACACCAAGGAACCTCCCTGTCCCCAAGATTTAGCGACAGTTCTGAGAAAGTGGGACCAAGTGGGTGGGGCACTCTCACCCCTCCCCCTCCACACCCTCTCCCTTCTCTCTTCAGCCAGAGCAGTTCTATTTTTTTTTTAATTTTGGAGAGGAGGTAATTAGGTTTATTCATTTATTTATTTTTAGAGGAGGTGCTCAGAATTGAACCCAGGACTTCGTGCATGCTAAGAATGCACTCTACCACTTGAGCTATACCCTTCCCCACCCAGAGCAGCTCTATTTTATGTATTCTTTTCAATTTACTTGCACAAGAACTTCTACCGTCAAAATATTTTTCCTGCTCCTCCTCTCTTCTTTTCTTCCTGAACCACTCAGTTCTAAAACCATCAGGGCAGCAGAGCAAGGGAGACATCTGCGTTGGGGAGGGGGAACCATGGAGGACAAGAGGGGGCATCACAGCATGTGAGAAGGGGTCTGTGGAGGGGAGGTCGGGGTGTGAGAGCCCCCGCAGAGTGAGGAGTGCGTCTATTACAGGGGGACAGCCTGGCCTGGGGTGTTGGAGCACAAATGGTGTGAAGTGGCATCCGCACATGAGGGCAGCCCGGTGCAGGTGTCAGAGGCGGATCAGGGTGAGTAGGGCAGCCACGGCGGGGAATGGGCTCAGCGTGGGAAATCAGAGGCCAAGCTGGATGAAGATGGGGCCAGGCAGGGAGATGGGTGTGGGAGCCTAAGGTGGAGTCAAGAGGGGGTCTAAATGGAGAGAGGGGGTACCCTGCCTGAGGAATCAGAGCTTGAGAGGAGGCGGAGCAGAGAAAGGAAGGGTGACCCAGATTGCCTGCCACTCAAACCGGTGGAGGTGGCAGGGGGCAGGGAGGGGAGCGGGTGCTCGGCCTCCTTCGCCTGCCAGATCCTTTCTAAAGCCAAGGAGGACCTGGAGCCCTTCCCAAATCAGTTGAAGTCATCAGATATTCACTAAGTACCAGTGATGTGCTGGGCAGCATGCTGGGCGCTAAGAAGAGAACCAGGATGGAGCACAACAGCCCAGCGGGGAGCACCACCCGGAGCCAAGGGAGCACCTTGGGGACAGCATGACCTCTTAGAGCGTATCAGGAACTGTCCAGAGAAGAGGCAAGCTGAGAGGTGAAGGAAGATGAGTTTGCCAAGGGTGGCAGGATGGGGGCAGCAATGACTCTGGAACTCGATTTCTCCCCCTGCCCAGCCTCACCTGCCCAGGGGCACCCCATCCCTGAAGGCCAGAGCCACCAAGAGCCTCCTCAGAGGCCTTTCCATCCTGGGACCCCAGGGACTACCTCCTAGACCGGGCCACTCAGGACAGACAGGGAGCTTCAGGGGCCGCCTCACTTTTGTCCAGACCCCACTCCACCTGGGGGCTTGTCTAGATAGGAAGGCCTCCTCCATTTCCCTTCCTGAGGTTCAGCATCTCTCATCATCAAGATATTCTGTTTGGCATTTAACTCGAATCCCTCTTGCGTTTTTTCTTTTTTTATTTCTTGGTGGGGGGGTGGGTTTGTTTGTTTATTTCATGGAGGTACTGGGGATTGAACCATGCTAAGCATGCACTCTGCCACTGAGCTATACCCTCCCCACCCCTTGCTTTTCCTATTAAAAGACATGGCTAGTTAGGTCCTTCCCCAGTAACCCTGAGCCAATTAAAATCTATCCCAGGAGGAGGTGGGGGGAAGCTGACAAGGCCAGTGAGTTGGGGGCTGTACCAAAACCCTGCTTCAGGCAGAAGCTCCCCTCCCAGTCATTTTTTTCCTCACAAGCCCTAACCTACAATCCTTCCTTTGGTGGCCCCTCTGCCCTTCCCACACCCAGATGAGAACCCTACTCATGCACATACACACACACACACACACACACACACACACAAACACACATACACACACACACACACACCACACCCCAGCATGACAGTCCTCAGCCTTACTCCCCAAAGAGCCCTTTCAGCAGAGAAATGCTGGCCGGGTCCCACTCCAGGTGGTCCCTTCTATTCAGGCTTCAAGATGGCCCAGCCCAGCCTCGAAAAGGAACTGTTGGACTCCATACGACCTGACTTTCATGCTTCAAAGAGCCCCAGGAGAGGTCGAGGCTAGACCCCAGAAAGGACTTCCTTTGGTTGAGATGTGGCAATGGTGTCCCCGTGCCCCGCCTCTCTGCGGTCACCAGGAGGGGGCGCCACAGCCCAGTCCAAGGGCAGTGTTATCAGAGGCCGGGCCGTGTCGCCGAGGGGCGAGGGGAGGTCTGCGGGCCCCGGTAGCGATGGGGTGCGGGACAGTAGGGAAGCTGCCGGAGCAGCCAGGGTCACCTGGTAGGGGGCGACACGCCCGCGCGGCCGGGACACGGGAAAGGGAGTGGCATCGCGTTCTGCCTAGTCATCGCCTGCGAAGGCTCGCGTCACCTCTGATGTCAGGGCTTCCAGGGGCTTCGTTCCAGTTCCGGGCTCAAGGAAAAGGCGTCGCGGGGCTCAGAGGTTACACAATTTCCCTTTAGGTCGCGTCGGAAGGGACCAATAGGGCCGGGATTCGAATCCGTGTCCATGGGCGCCTGCCCGCCAGCCTGGTCCGCAGGTGGCCAGGCTCCACATAGCATCCTTCCCAAAACCACAGCATAGCCGGACCGGCCTTGGCCTGGCTTCCTTCTTTCTTGTCTCTAAAATGGTCTTTCATGGGAATATCTTCTTGGCAGCTTTATTTAAAAAATAAAAAAAAAAGGCTCCTGAAACCACAAATGTTTTTAAATGAATTCAGGTCCCAAATTCCCGGAGTAGGGTGGGGAGGCGGAAGATGATGTAAAGCCTTTCAGTGTCAAAGTTAGACGCCAAGGGCGCGGGGAGCCCTCCCCCGACCTCCAGAACCCGCGCCGGCGGGGACCCGAGGGCCCTCGCGCTTCTCTGAAAGTGTCTCCTTTTGAAAAAGCACGAGTCCTTGTGCTCTGAGTGTTTTGAGTCCGGTCCATTATGAGAAATCTCCTTTTGAGGATGGACATATTCAAATCCAGATGTTGTCTTCGCAGAACAAAAAGCACCCTCCAAACTCTCTTTATGAAGGTTCTCATCCTTTGAAGGAAAACCATCTCTTGATAAGTGGAATCCCCCCGACCCCCGCAGCCAAGAACCTGCTGCTCTGAATTTGTTAAAACCGGTTTAATAGCCTGTCTCTGTTCCATTTCTGAGCCAGGATGGCAGTGACAAGGTGGAATGTCACTGGCTGCTGAATTTAATAGGTTGAATATGGCTTGACTAAGAAGAGAATGTTGGATTTTTTAAAATACACGTCATTTATTTAGATAGAGTTAATTCAAGACATACATTCTAATGGGGCAGATGTAAGATGAAATACCAATTATCAGAAAAAATTTCCCAAATTGTACACTTCATTTTGCTGATTCAAAAATGCTTGAATAAAAAAATTAAAATAAACCAAAAAAACAAAAACACACACAAAAATGCTTGAATAACAAGTTTTCAGAAAGAAGGATGCATTAAGGGTACACATTGATTGTAAGACAGTTCCAGTTTCACTAATATTCATTTCTTAAAGTACACCTTAAAATAGGGCAAATATGGATTGCATACTTGTTGACTATAATATGACTATATATAGCCAAGGATTTTTATTATTAGGGTCTAGTATTTTTGCTGATACTGAGAGCTCAAAGCAGGAATCTTTTTCTCACTCTACTTACATACCACTGGTGACAGGGTGCTCACTATCTATGGATGCAATCCTTTTCATTGTGGGATGATTCTGACTGTCACAGAGTTGGTTCTCAGCCCCTTGTTATCTCCATGTTCTGCCCTTGGAGCCAGGCAGGGTTACTACTGCTCCTGCCTCTGCCCCTCTGAGTCTCTCTTCTCCAAAGTCAGTATCCCAATTCCTCATTATTCTTTGCCCTCCACAAACTGGATTCTGGTCTCTCCCTGTCCCTGTAAAAGTATGGTAACCAGAATTGAACACAACCCTCCAGCTATCACCTCCTTCATCCTCAATCCTATACCTCAATAGATGTGGCCTGAAATCACATTAACTGGGGGCAGCTATCTTGACATGGGGTTATACTGAGTCTTCAGCCAAAACCTTTTTCATGCAAAATCTTTTCATTTTACATCCATCCCTATTCCCTTTCACTGTAGGGGCTTTGGTCTATCATTTCATCTGCTTTAGGTGCTTTCCAGCCCCGGTTTGGTTATTTAAAATACCAACCGCCACACCTAGTTTTAGGTCATCTGCAAATCAAGTCAGCATGCCTTCTGTACCTTTACCCCAGCTGTTTGTAGACATGTTGCGTGACCTTACCCAGCCAGCCAGTGTCTCTGGGACTTAGTTTCCCCATGTAATAATAAACAGTGAAGAGAAGAACTCTACCACTAGAGCTCATGTACTGTGCGGCAGACGCTATGCCAAGCCCTTTACAACCTCACGACATTCATTACTCACGCCAGTTCTCTGAGGGAGGCACTGTTGTCATCCTCCCCATTCTACAGATGCAGACAACGAG